CTCAGCTAAGCTACAAAGGTTGACAAAGAAGGACTCAAATCCCTCCTTAAACCAGAAATGCTGCCTGCAGAACATATTGAACAAGTCAATCTTCCACCGCCCTCTCGACAAAGTTGCACCACTAGGTCCTTTCTCCTTGACCTCTGCACCATCGTCTGCACCAATGGCCTCGGATAATATATAATGCTTTGGGTGATTTGGGTGGTATAGAATATCGAAGGGCAATTACTTGTACTAAGCACTGTCACTGTCACTGGGCTGGTTACGCTCTCATGCAAACGCTCTGTAAAGTATATATAGTATTGTATCATATATATATATATACCTTAGTCCAAGTCCAAGTCTCTCCAAAGTCACTTGCCGCAGAAACACTTCCACTTGCCAGGGCCAATGCAGTCTTCAAAGCAACACCAAACCGGGAGGAGTTCCTCAACTCCATATTCCTTAGAACATTAAGCCGCCTGCCGCCTACACAGTACTAGTAACTAGTGTACTGAAGAAAAGCAATCGTTTGCCTGCATGTTCTAACAAACAGGAGTTAGTCAGCATTGGCATGTCAATAAACTTGTCAATTCCGAATCCAAGTTTCAAAAGCATACAACGATATAGTTGGGCCAATGAAAATGCCGGTCTTCCAGCTACTCCATGAAGTTGCTTGATGCATGGCTTCAAAGCAGATGTCAAAGAATCTTCTTGACTGTGACCCCTCGAGTACATCATTTCGATGATCATCATAGCTGCATCTTGAAAAGATTGGACCTTAGCCAACTTGACTTTGTACCGCGCACATAGTACAAACCCAAGGCTCGGTTTTAGTTAGCCTTTTTCTTTTTTTAAGGTTAATCTAAGCAAATCCAACCATCCTCTTACTACTGCATCATTGACTCCTTGATGAACACTTTATTTCTTCCAGGCACCCAGTGCCGGTGCCAAAAATGCCCCAGCAGTGCCAAGAAACTTCTTTGCTCGACCCATGCTGCAGCACAGGCCGTGCACTCACCAAAAGGAGGTCATAGATTTTCTCGCATCTGGAGGGAATTTCTTGTTCATACTGGCCCTGATTCTCCCCCAGCACCAGCATGGCATTGCAAACTACGACAACTCTTTGAGTGAGATTGAAATCTCTAGCTTCAATTTGGTTTGCTGACTTGTAGTTCAAAGCTAGGCAATATTGATCTTTGATTGGTCTTTGCATGCCAGGGTCTCTTGTTACATTACCTTCCTTAGTCCACTCAGTCCATTGTCACCGTCTACTGCATGATCCCAACCAAATGCAACGGGGCCAGGAAAACACGATCTTGGCAATGGCACGGCCTTGATTCATAACGACAGTCTGGAATTATAACCATGAATCCAGCTTGAATGTGTTTTCCAAGTTTTGTTCTCATTTGCTTTGATCCATTGGTTGGAGACATTAAAACATATATGCCTGAGATAAAACCCTATCCCAAAGTTAAGCGCCCTGGATTGTGCAATTTGGCAGTAGAATGTAGACAAAATCCTGTCTATATACTATGTGCGTGGTTCGTCCTGTGTATATACGAGAAGGAAACCAAGGAAAAATGGTCGACAGCCCGCTGACAAATCATACAGTTCTCATTGACATGAGCGGCAGTATTAGCTTCGCACCTGCTGTGGAGGTGGTGGTGGCATTGTCTGCTGCTCGAAGCGCAGCTTCACTGTTTCATCGCCTGTTGTTCGGAGTGAGTTGACATACTCAAACATGATATCGCCCTTTAAAGGTTGCCTTTATAATATGGTAAAGATTGGTATTAGCGAGGTGCAAGACGGAGTTTCCCAGTTCAAGACGGCACTTGTATCTGTGGCTTCTGCATTTGATTGCATTTGTTTGTACATGGTCGGTTTGGCCGGCCCATGTAGAGGGAATCACTACTCAGCTCTCTGACAAACAGTCCTGAGTCGATCTTTGCTTGCCGTTCTCTTCTGGCCGCCTGTCACGCACGCCTTCTTGCAACTTCTCGCGGTGGCAGGATAAATAAAGCAAATTAAAGCAAACTCCCCTAGCCAACCACACTCCTCATTATCGTCATTGCTATGGTGGCCTCGGTTAGCTTGACAAGAAGGCCGAAGTCAGACAGCTCCTGACATGCACACTACCGTAGGTAAATGATTCATGATGCTAGATGGAAGTGAGTTCAAGTGATGGATTATCCAAACCGATCTAGAAATGAACCTGGAAAAAACTGAACTTGCCATCGACAGTCACGCCTCTCCATGCTTCGCAACAAGCACCAAATCAGAATCGTATGACAATGTGTCCTGACAACATGAATCAACTAACTAACTCTCATTCATCCCGCTGCCGCCGACGTTCGATTCAGTGATCGCTTCAATATGCTTTGCCTGTGTGTTCAACATTTAGTTCCCACAAAGTGCACCCCTTTCCTTCAGCAACTTCTCAACGAGTTCTGCGGTGGTTTCTGTGCTGAAGTGCTTTGGGACAAGCTGCTTCCTTGCAAAGACTGGTGGCTGACAGAATCGAAGCTTGAATGCCAAATCGAACATTGCCTTCCGCTCTTACACGCTCTTTAAAAACTCTGGACGCAGCTGAGCAAGGCGCTTGAAATACTTCTGGTAGTAGAACGCCAAATGTTGGTCGTGAATGCCAACTCCTCAGCAAACTGACTTCCTGACCTAAACACCACTCCAGCGGGATACAGTAGTATTTTCGCATTATACTGTGCCCGCGTTTTATTGCTGATCGGATTGGCAAAGTGTGTTTTTGCGGCAGGTTCAGCCCTGTCAGATTTCCACACCCACAGTACACTCAATTATGCTCATATGACTTTCAGGTGTGGAAATAAGACGGTGAGATCTGGCACGCGTTAAGTAGAATTTTGAAGAGGGAATGCCTCAAGAGATTACACGTCAAAAGGCACAACTTTCCGCACGCCGGCGTGTACCGCCCGGACGTGCCCCGCAGATCTGAACGCACCCTGACAAGTCACGTTCAGGATCTGCAGCATCTTTGGCAAACGCATTGGCCATCAAGTGCAGCTCAGCGCGCCTCAGCTGTGCAAGTCCTCCAATCAAATTCAAGTCTATTTTCCATATGTGGTCTCCACAAAAAGGTGTAAAGTGCTTGCACTGCAAGACCTGGCCCTGCCTCTTGATACACATGACCGAAGAAATGGTTTAAGGCCGAAGTAAGTACGAATTGGAGGAAATCATCTCTTTTCAAAAACCATGCGATTCTGTCAGCTCTGCAATTTAGGGCAACTTGAGAAGGGCAGTCAAGCGAAATGGGGAGCCACTGCAATGTGATTGCAGGAAAGCACAGCGGTCCATTAGTAAGTTTGCACTGCTAGTAAATCCGTAGGTTTCTCCTCGAGAGTGAAGGGCCGAAGGATGTGGAAGGTAGGCGATGAAAATGATCAAGTGGAGATTCACTTCATAGGTGGGAGGCCATCGCTACTTGTGGTCCAGGGGGGGTGGGGAAAGGTAGGAGAAGAAGCAGCGCTGGGGCCATTTTGGCAGCAAAGGCCGGGAGTCGCAACATATCATGGTGGAGGGCCAAAGAGGAGAGCGCCAACAGCACCCCCCCAATACAACCCCAACACAGGAAACACACAACCACCCCAGCAGCAGCAGCAGCAGCAGCAGGAAACAGCAGGAAGCAGCAGCAAGCAGCAGCCGCACCAGCAGCCGCACCAGCAGCCGCACCACCAGCCGCACCAGCAGCTGCAGCAGCAACCGCAGCAGCAGGAAGCAACAGCAGCAAAGAAGCAGCAACAAAGAAGCATAGAAACAGCAGAAGCAGGGGGAAGGGGAAGTTGAACCCGCTGAGAGGGGTTATATCCCTGATATATCAGGGGTTAGGACGCAGGTCCTGGGTTCCCTCCCTCCTTGCTAAAGCAAGACAGACTCCAGCTAGCAGCTTTCATGATGAGGTTGGAGGCCATCGCTATTAGGTTGGAGGCCAAAGCCTATCTTCTTTGGCTCAAGTTGGAGACCGCTCAGGATCTCAAGTCATCAAGGTGTCCTTTTGGGGGTGGTTTCCAACAGATGCCAACATGCATTGATGATGCCATTGTTCTCCACTTCAACCTCAAGAAGTCCGAGTAGCAAGTTCAGAAGAACCCAGTCCTGTGACAGTGTCGTGAAACTTTCGCAAACCGTTGATAATCTTTTGTACCATATGTCCAACAATCAGGCAAATCTTAGTGGCCTAGTGGGCCTAGTGTCATTCATCTGTCATTGCCGCCGTCCTCAAAGGCGAATTGTGCGAAAAGAGGCGAGCCATTAACATTGCACACATCATCCACAGCCATGACATCGACCTGAAGAGAAACCCCACAGCTGTAACAGGCTGTACCCACAAAGCATGTTGAGCGACTACAATTGGCTGAACTTTCATACTCAAACGTGAGAATGACCATGTGTCCACCTCCGCAGGTGACGGCGGCTTGATGTCAGCCTGCGAAAATGCGCACCTTTTAGCCCTGTGAGACGCGAGTGTGCAATGCGCTGCCGGCCTTCAGCGGCTCTTCGCTATTTGGCTCTTTTGGTGCCTCTCCTTCGGTCTGTCCTTCTTGGGTCTGTCCTTCTTGTCCTGCTTGGGTCTGTCCATCTTGCGGTGCCTCGCCACCTTCCACTTGAGCCGCTTGTGCCTGAGGGGTTGAGCATTGTCCATGGCACAAGACCCTGCGAACTTTTGCTGATGAGAGCCGAAGAGCTTCTGCCTCAGGCATCACCGGCACATTCTCTTGTGGTGGTTGTGGAGGTCGCAATTGAAACCTCGCCATGAGAGGTAGAGATGGCACAGGGCAAAACAGCACAGCTCAGCAAGGCAACAGAAATGCGGGAGAGGCACTCTTTCTGCTTGTTCTTCAAATCTTCCAAAGTCTTCTGCCATTCTGCAAGTTTGCTCTTGAACCTCGGGAATTCTGACGGCCCCTTTGCTCCCCTTAGACCCTAGTGGGCCGCAAAACCCTGAAAAAACTCAAGGAGGGGGTTTCTGCCCATGCCACTGAACGGATCTAAAAAGTGTGTGTGTGTGTGATGCACATCCAGGAAATTCCTATGCGTAGTTCGAGTGGCCAATCTCCTGGCATCAAGTCTTCAATGCGATTTGAGATCTTGCTCTTGCGGATATAGTTCCTAAGTGAAGTTTTTGACACGTCAACATCGTCAACTCTAATATTATATATATATAAGTACATCTACATGAAGCTCTGGTAACACTCTGCATGACGATGACAAACAAAGCGTTTAACATCTGCAAGCCGTGCTGCGCCAAGTACTCGTTTGCTTTCTCATTCTTTGCTGACCATCCGTACCGAATCTCACTGAAGCCCTGGACCGCCACTTTACGAGCAAAAAAGATCGCGAAGCTTTCAAACTTTCGGCCGTTCGATCAAAATGGCCTCATCCTTATCAGGAATGCTGAACTTCGCGAAGCAACCTGGGTGAGGAAAAGGTGAAGACTGCATGTAATTAATGCTGTTTCAAAACCGATCACTTGCGTTTCTCCAAGCCCTTTTTCTAAGCCACTACCCAAAGTCCAGCTAGTGAGATCCGGTGTCGCTTTCTTGCGGAACCAGGCGGCCTCAAGCAAAACTAGTCTTCGCTTTGGAGCAACAGCCTTCAAAACCAGTGATGTCCTAGAGTCCTAGCCATTTATGTAAATACATATACCTATGCACTGTATATTTACAAATATAGTACTTCTACGACTCCCATAAGTCTTGCGTAAACTTCTTTTTACCATCCACTACGAAGGCAAATTCTTGAGCAGAACTCTCATGCAAGTTCAAGGTTCCCTGGCAGCCCTCACCTTGTCCTCTTCTGTGAGCACAACCTGTGGGCAGGGTTCATCAAGTTCTTCAGGTTCCTCCTCCTTCACTTCCTGCGCCAGCTTGTTTACCATGCGACAGCCACTTCTTGAATTATCTACATGGGTGGTCAAGTGGAGTGAAGTTGTCATTCACTGACCGTCTCCTGCTTTACCTCTGGCATGGGTTCATCCTTCACCTCAGTCTTCGGCTCGTCTTTCACCTCTTTCTCTTCTTTGACCTCTGTCTTTGCCTCCTCGTTTTCATGAAACGCACCCGGAAATAACAAGGTTCTGTCTAAACCGCCAACTATCTTGCGTCAACCCACTCTGCCAGCTTCAGCTTCGCTGTAGTCCTGTACGTCATTGCCCTTCGTCTCTGCCTTGGAACATGTCAAGACCATGGGACATCGAAACCCGATTGATCAGGAGGCAAAAAGCCAGCCAAAAGCAAAAAACAAAGGAGATGAAAGGGTAGAGAGACAGGAACAACTGTTGAAGCCTGACTTTCTCCTTCGCCTTTCTCTCCTTCCGTTTTTTCTCCTTCCTTCTTTTCCTCTTCGGCTTTTTCAGCTGCCTGTGCAGCCCTCTCTGCCTCAGCAGCAGCCTCCGCGGCTTGCCTCTCCAACTCCTCTAGGGGTTTGATTCTGATGGCGGCCGGGGAGGTGTTTTATGCAACTCACCTCAATTAAATGTATTCACGCTCCACGAGGCATCTGGCCGAACCTTGCAACGGTTTTGTTAGGGACCTATATATATATATAGTTTTTTTTAAAAAAAAATTGTTGTATACTGATAGACTTGCCACGGCTCTTTGGGTGGAACCGTTCCATGATTCCAGTTGAGCCTATTTTTGAGGCTCCTTTGTTGGAGGGCCGCATGACATATTGTCTCCCTCCTCCTGGCTAGATCTTGCCCCTGGCTACATGAGAACAAAATATGCACTCTCCATGGCAAATGCCCGCACAACCAACAGATTTCCTCCAGCTTCCTCTTGGCCTCCTCCTCAGCTCTTTTCTTGGCCTTGAGCAGGAGCAACTTCTGTGCTTTCACATGGGTTGGTGCAGTCGCGATGGTGTGCGTTGAGTTGGTGCGCGACATCCTGCTTTGAGTTTTTTGGCAACTTCTTCTGAGCCTTTGTGAAAAAAAAGAAGCTTAGTGGCTCAGTGTCCGGGAGGGGGTCAGGGAGGGAAAGAGGGAAGGAGGGAGGGAGGGAGCGAGAGAGAGAGAGAGGGCGAGACAGACAAACAGACAGACAGACAGACAGACTCAAACAGACAGACAGACTCAAACAGACAGGGAGGGAGGGAGCGAGGGAAGGAGGGAGGGAGGGGAAGAGAGAATGCCTGATGGGCCCTCAATTTATGCTGTCAGCGCCACAGCCCCACCTCTTCCAGTTCTCGCTGGCGCTTGCGCTGAAGGCGTTCCTGATGCGCTTTGACATTGCATTGCATCTGACAAGTCACCTTTCTCAACACACCAACAGACCAACTGCCAATCGGCCCGTCCTGCTCCTTTTCCATCTTCCGCCTCTTCCAATCCTGAGTGGCCTTCTCTTGCTTCTCTGTGAGCAGGGCCTTGTGCACCTGGAAGCAATGCCAGTTAGCCACTCCCCGCATGTCGTCAACCGAAACTGGAATCTGAAATCTTCTCGAAGCTTCTGGCCTTCTCCTTAAAGTCAGCCGGCGGTTCCCCCATGACCACCTCAATACTAGAAGGAAGCACACAGAAGAACAAAAAGGCTGTGGCAGACAAGACATCTTGCCTCAGCAACCGTCTTGAAATAGTTCTCGCTGAATCTTTTGAGAAGCTGGCTTCGCTCCTGAAGCATTCGGACATGCACCAAAGCCGCAGCTCGCTCCCGTCACTGCTGTACAGAAACTCTCTTCTGTCTACTCCCCACCATCCTGAGACACCTTGCATACAAATGCATAGATGCATAGTTTTGCATAAATTATGCTGTACATGTATATGTGTTTGCCTTGGCAGAGCTCGAAAATTAGAAACAATAGTCAGAGCAACCAGGATGACACTTTTGTGATTTGTCCTTAACTAGATAGAGCAGAAAATGCGCATATGTACAGTATATATGTGTGTAATTGTATCTATGCACACAATTGTGCACATGCATAAGGTTAGCAGCGGTTAGCACAAAGCCACAATTGCCTTGGTCACTTCAACTATGTTGTTCGCAGGAGGTGTGGTCTGCGTGCGTTTCTTGCATGAAAGCTCTTTGGCCTCAGCGCTGACGGCACATTCCCGGAAGGGGCCGCTGTCAGCATCCGTTGCCAAGCTAATTCACTGTCCAACATACTAGCCGGCGGCATTGCAAAACTGAAACAAGGTAGCGCCCGTTTCAAATATCAGGATTCATCCCTGCACTGCCTAAAGCAAAGCACAAGCAACTGGAACCTGATTGCGACTGAGGTTCCAAATGGCACACAACTTACACCATATTACACCACTGCTACAGTATAGGTTCAATTACTTGGGCTCTGCCTCCTCGACCCGTTCATCTCACTTGGTTCGATTCTCACTTCGTGCACCGAAGTAGGGCCTAGGGCCTATTGGCCTGACCGCTGGCTTGCGTAACATGATACAAACACTGTGCATAAAGACGAAACAAACTTCATCTCAACACGTTAAGAAGACAGTATTTCAATGCAATAGAGCAACAAAATGAACCAGCCCTGCGAGAGAGAGAGAGAGAAGCGAGAAAGGGAGAGACTGAGTGCACGGCACCATCAATATTGGCATAAGAATGCAGCATAAGAGTTTGCTACAAAACTGTTGCTGGTTACAGTAAGTTGAATTCAACGAATCAAGGTGCCCCCAGTCCTCCTTGACCAGATTTGATTTCACTTCCATAACCTCAAACACAATTAGAATGTGCCCCCTGCAAGCGACTCTCTGTTTTCAACCTGTTCAATCTCCAGATCTTCATCTCTGAATGCTGATGCTTAGGGTTCCAGTGGCTGAGACCTGCGGCTATGTAATGCCGCGGCTGAGTTGGTGCCACCGCCTGGATCACACGCCGTGCGCTGAAGTCGTCCAGGAGTGGAACGCGGAACCTTCAACTGCAATTCAGGGCATTCCGCAATGCAAACATCCGAAACGCGGCGAAGAAGCTGGTCTACAATCATCCAAAATAAATATGAAGAAATCACAGCTGGAATAAATTGAGTCAGCCAAAGCAGCTGTGGGTCTGGTTTGTCGTTGCAATGTTTCCACGTGCTTTGCTCTGTGTGGCTGATCCCGCTCTTCTCCGCCCACTTGATAATGGCACGGTCGGACAGCCTCAGAACCGATTGCGCTTGCCAGGTCTTTCTGAACAGTCTGCGGGTTGTCTCTCTCCTTGTTCTGCTAGAAGTTCTAGAATTCTAGAAGAGTTAGGTCCAAGCTGCTCCACGTACTTGGGGTTCTTGTCCAAGAAGTCATCCAACCAGTCGAAAGTGCCCTCATCAGGCACGGCCACAGGGAAGATAACCTCATACTTTCCATCCTGGTGCATAGAGACAGCCGCACGCTGAGTACTTGGCACCCTGCCCGAAAATACAATGAAATATGCAGTGCAGCATGTTCACCATCTGTCAGCAGATGGGTACAATCCTAGCAAATCCCGCCACAGTATACTCTCATCTAACACGGGCCACGGCCGGAGTTGCCCACACAAATATGCAATAGGGCCGTGAAGTGCTCAACAGGAAGCGGGAAGAGGGGAGCCGAAAGTTCAATCAGACTCGCTGAGTATATAGGGATAAGAGTTGGTTTGTAAAGTTCTGAGCTGTTCATAAGGGCAGTTTTTAGACCCATATGAGAGGTTCTGAGAAGTTCTGACTCCTGCCAGTAGCACGCGAAATACTTTGAACTCAAAACTAGCTTCAATGGCGCTGGTAACCCTCTTTCTTTCCGACTATTCGTTGAAACTCCCTTTCTCTCTCTCTCTATCTCTATCACGTTCAGAATTCCTGGTTGAGGGCCATTGAGTTTTAGGCAGGCTTCAGTTGCAGTAAGCACACTCCAAGCCTTCTTCACACCTTGTTCAGGCTCAATTTCGCTCGATCTTCGTGACTACCTCTACAAATTGATACATAGTTCCCTTGTCGCCCAAACCGGTACTGCGTGCCACATGGCACCCTATAACGACTCCAAAACAAACGACGGGAACGTTGAGCCATTCAATTGCTAGCTTACTCTATATAAAGCAAAGAAGGAAACAGAGATAAATGGTGCCTATACCTTTACATCGAATGAATGTACTTTCTGGAGCCCCATGTCCTTGGTCGGTGCCGGAGCCTCTACGCCATCTGCTGTGGGCACTTCTGCTACAGAAAGGCACGTGAATGGCAAAGGCCTTGCTGCGGTTGATGAAACGCTTCGGCTCAATTGCTTGGCATGTGACGACCATGGCGGCCAAGTAACACCGAAGGAGGCCCAAAGTTGACATGCAGGGTGATGTTCTTAAAGCTCACATGAGGGAAGAGCGGCTTGCCCAACAACTTCTCTGGCAGCTTCTGCGGCTGTGCAACTCGCACACCATCCTCGGCCCCGAAGGCTCAAGCCACCAAACTCGCCCCTCTGACAGCATAAGGCCTCCAACCTAACAGCTTTCAACATCTTTCAACCTAATAGCCATGGCCTCCAAATACGCTATACTACAGTATACTCTTTGCTGGAAAGTCCAACAGGCCAATTCAGCTGAGCCTCCCGGAACAGACTCACCTGGGAAAATGGAAACAGAATGAAAGGCTATGAAGAGGAGTCTAAGAGGAGCCCTCCAAAAAGAAGAAAGCTTGCAGAATTGAAAAAGCTGAGTAGGCCACAGTGTTGGCGTTCGGGCTTGCGGCATCGAGATTCAGCAGTATCGCCACCACATTATCTCGAGAAAATCTTTGTGAAGTACTCTCACCTAGGCACAAGATGCGTGAATGATTGTGCAAGCACAGTATACCATTATCTTGTATCAATCCACACTGACATGTGGGCAAATGTTGAGACAACTCATATAGCACAGTAATATACACATGTTTAAGTATATACACATATATGTATACCTATATATGTGTGTGCATCTGTTGGACCAAGAAAATCAAGCACGTTTCAGTACAATTTCAGAAACAAAAATCCTCAAATGCTGTGGGGAAGGATATTGGCCAAAACAGGTCGCAGTATCAAAAAACTGGGTTAGGTCTGCTGCCTGCTGTCTGATCACAAAGTCTCTATATATATATAATCTATCTATAATATATATGTACATGCCAAGTCTCGCTTCTGATCTGCCACATAGAACCCATCGTTGTCGAAGTACACGGAGTCGCCTCCCTCTCCCAAAAGAAGCGATGTGCCCTGCGGTCGCGAGTTCAAATGTGAGACAAGTGCTCGGGTTCCTGGAATGTATGTTATATATATATATGTGTGTGTGTATATCAGTATATTTATTTTTCTTGTGTCGGCGCCGGATGGTAGAATACAAAAAAATGTTTCTGCATTACTGTATTCACTATTGGGGTTTCACAGTTTCACACAAGCACCGCCGTGTTTTGCACGTTCATCTGCTAAGTTCAACTTCGGTGTTTCCTTCCCGAGTCACAATTGCACCTGTGTGGAGAAGCCTACGCGAACCAAATTCCTGGAGACTGTCGAGCGAAAGCTCCTCTGGGCGCCTACCGGTGGCTGCGGGAATACATGGTCCAACATTGCATGGCAGATTCAGAAAAAATAGATGTTAAGGCGCGGTACACAAGTAAGCAGCATAGTATCTCCAAGCGAGTCTCGGCCTTCCGAGGGATTGTGGGCCTCGACCACTTTGACTTCGAAAAGGTATCTGCCCTTCTTGATCCCCAGGTTTGCCCGTGCACCTTCATGACGAGTCCGTTCTAGTCTATCAAACCAAGGCATCCATCACCCTCATTTTAAAAAAACACTGCATGTGTTGACATTCACGTGTCGCTCACAGTGTGTGGAGATTGAGCTACTTGAGCTCTTTCTCAGGACCTGTGGGGCGCTTGCAGCTGCTTGCCTCCAATCAGGTATTGCATGCCACCATCAGTAAATGGCATGAGCACCCGCCCTCCCAAAGACGGTATCACGTTCAAGGTGCACTCAGACCTGAGAACATGGCATTTCCACGCATGCAGGCCATGTTGGGTTTCAATGCAGGTCATACATGTGCATATGAAAAGTGTATATGCGTGAGTGCATGCGTGTGTGTGTGTGTGTCACACTCTGTTTCTAAGAGTTTTCCACAAGCAGGGGCGTGTCACACTCTTATCCTATCACCCGCAAACGAAGCTGTGGATAAGAGTGGGCAGGGAAACTTGGCCAGTTTCCTGTACCTGCGACAACTTGAACTGTTGGACACGCTGTTCACTTCTTTGGTTTGCTTCCACGGTCGTTGTCATGATAAACCCCAAAACATGTCCTTCCGCCACTTTCAGCCGCTCGTGAGCTGTCGGTGAGTCTCTGCAGATGTGCGCAAACATTTGTTCAACATTCAGTTGATCGCGGACTTTGCCACCTTTCTGTTCCCTCATTCATTTCCTCGGGGAATTGATGCAACTGCAAACCCATTGTCTAAGTCTAAGTGTGTGCCGCTGCGTCGTCCCACTTGGGTACACAGTGTGATCCCCGGCAAGGGGGCGCCGCCTTCATTCCGGAGTACCGTGTAACTGATTCAGCTGTTTTCTGCATGCGTTGGATTCTCTTAACTGACTTTCGTCTCAAACACCCCAACCCCCCCCCCTCTAATTAGGGTAACAGAGGGAAATGGTACTCGACACACTTGTGCGTCGGTGCCTTTCCCTCTGTTGCCCCTTTTCTAGTCTACTCTACCCGGGCGGTGTAAGACTAAAGTCCCGCTCCCTAACTATTGCACCTAATTCACTTCGGCTAAGCAATCAGCAACTCTAGAGTGCTAGGTATTCATACACACACTTGAGATATTGTGTACTGAACTGAATGCGGTGCCACACGCCGGCCTAGGGTTCCATTTCCTAAGAGTACCAGTAAGGACCAACGGAGCCTGGGGGTCTGGAAGAGGAAGTGAGGCCAAAAGCGTAAGGTCGAAGGCGACGAACAGGTCGAAATGATGATGATCGCTCATGTCTGCAGCAAGTGAGGTTCTAGGCTTAGCCTCATGCCATTCGGAAAAATGCAGGTACGCTGGAGTGGCCAACTCCAGTATCCCATCTTGCTGCCTAGCTTTGTTAGACCAGGTCAGCAGCAAGATGCCTGGTCCCCCAGCTGTAAAATAAACAAATGCAAAAGCATCCCTATGACTCCAAGGGTGACACACACACGCCTCCCCGAAGGGAGGCAAGATTTTAAGCTCTATGCCGAAGGTAAGGTGAGACTAGGAGAACTGGCGGATCTCACGGTAGGTCTGGTAGGCGGTCAGTGGGAGTCGAAGTTGACCAATGGCGTCATCATGAAGGCGGGGGGCGACCGTGTGGAGAGGTCGGTAAGGAAAGGGAACGGATTCACGGGGATATTCGGCAGAAAGGCCCAGTGGACGTACCCGTCGAGAGTTGATGAAGTAAAGGAC